GAAGCATGGTGTCTCCAGCAAACAGTGTGGAAACAGTTGCATATTTACGTAAACACGTTAAAGCCTTTGGATCTGAATCTCACACTTTGTGTTCAGAATAGAAATGGGTTGTATATCTAGATGCAAAGCAGGAAGCTATGGGTGTTTTAGAAGAAACAGGAAATACTTGGAACCTGAGTATAGTAAAATAGTTCTTAAACATGACACCAAAAAGGAACTATGAAAGAAAAAAACACTGAAGTTAACCGAAATTAAAACCTTTTCACAGAAGACTATTAAAAGGGAGCTGGGAGAAAATACTGTAAATGAGATACATACCAACGGACACGACCGGAGTCTACAAAGAGCTGTGGAGATGAGCAGGGGCTGGAGAAATGGCTCAGTGGTTAGAGCACGGGCTGCTTTCCTCAAGGATTGGTCCCCAGCACACATGTGGTGGCTTGAAAACATCTGTGACTCCAGTTCCTCTGACTTCTGTGGATGCCACACACAAACGTGGAGCAAACACATCCATGCACACTCAGGTGCATAAGATATTCGAACACTCATATGCATAAAATAAATACTTTTAAGAAGAGGGACAACATAATTTTAAAAGGACAAAGTGCAAAAGTGCAGACTTTGCTAATAAGAATTAGAGATCATGAGTCGGGCGGTGGTGGGCACGCCTTTAATCCCAGCACTCGGGAGGCAGAGGCAGGCGGATCTCTGTGAGTTCGAGGCTGGGCTGGACCGACAGCCTCGAAAACAATACAGAGAAACCCTGTCTCATAAAAACCAAAAAAAAAAAAAAAGAATTAGAGATCATGAATAGGACAAAAAAGTGTGCTGATACATTATTTATGATTTATTAAATCTTGCCTGAGGATTCAGAAAGCAAAGTCAGCCTTAAGCTATAGAGATAAGGCAGTGGTGGTACATACCTTTAATCTCAGGACTCAGGATTAAGAGGTAGATGCATCTTTCTTAATTCAAGGCCACCACGGCCTACACAAGAGTGAAGAGTAACAGAGCTCATGCCTTTGAACCCAGCACCTGGGACCACACACCTTTAATCCCAATGTTAGGGAGGTATATAAGACAGGAGCAAGGTCTCAGTATTGAGCATCCATTCTCCAGCCACACTGAGGAAAAGAGGAATTCATTCTCTGGCCACATTGAGGACAGGAACACATTAAAGTCTCAGGATTCTCCAACCACAGCCTGAGGTTTGGTGGTGCCAGGATCATCCTTTCAGTCTGAGGTAGAGCTAGTGCCCAGCTACTTTGTTTTCTGATTTTCAATTTGAAGTCTGGACCCCAATATCAGTCTCTTTTTTTCTGTGCTACACAAAAGGACCCTCAGAGTCATTAGCTGCTAAGGAAAGGCAGACTTCAGCTGTCCATAGTGGGACATATACGGTATCCTATTGCATTAGAATGACTAACACGGTGACTAACACGGAAAATGTTGGCACTACTAGGAGCTTGTAAGCCACAGAGCAACCGGGACACACACACACTGCTTGTCTTGCTAGCCCAAATGTAGAATACAGTAGCTGGTCTGGAAGACATTTGGCAGCTGTACATAGAGTTGGGCATACACTTGCACTGACCCAGTAACACCCTGCTAGAGTGTTCTCCTAAGGAAGCAAAAGCTGTGTTTATACAAAGACCTAGTAGATGTGTTTACAGAAGTTCTGTTCCTAGAAATCAAATACAAAAAGCTCAGATGTCCCCAGCGGGTGGACATGATGTGTCCATTCACAAGTCCTGTACTCTGGACTCAGCCATGAAAATGGATGAACCATTAATGCACGCAGCAGCCATGTGGGTGAGTCTCAAAGGCATCACGCCAAGTGAAAGAAGCTGGTCTTGAAAGGTTGGGTGCTGTACAGCCCATTCACCCCCTCTGGAAGGCAGAAATGATGGGACACAGACCAGGGCTTCACAGAACGGAGGAGAAAAGGTTTTGAGTACATGAAAAGGAATCTGGGGATGCATGGGACATGGAGCTAGTCTGCATTTTTATGTTGATGGTAATTACAGACGGACAGACAGACAGACAGACAGACAGACAGACACACACACACACACACACACACACACACACACACACACTAAAGATAACGGAACTGTATACCAAAAGGAAAATGAGGTTTTACTGTGTTTTATCCTCAGTGAGGTAACCCAGTCACAGAAAGAGAAACATGGTATGTACTCACTCATATATGGATTTTAGACATGGGTCAGGGAAGTACCAGCCTACAATCCCACTGCCAGAGAGTCTGGGAAACAGAACCTTCATCCAGCGACTGATGGAAGCAGAGGCAGACACCTACAGCTAAACACTGAACTGAACTTCTGGAATCCAGTGACAGAAAGGGAAAACTGATGAGCAAAGGCATTAAGACTGGGCTGGTTTAACCCACAGAAAGAGTTGATCTGAACAAGGGGGAGCTCTTGGATCCCAGACTGATGGCTGTGTGGACAGCATGGGACTGATCCAGACCCCTTGAATGTGGATGTCAGTGAGGAGCCTTGGGTAGTATTTATCCCTGGCATACAAATGGACTTTGAGTGCCCAACCCACATTGAGAGATGCTCTCTCAGCCTGGACTCTTGTGGGAGGGCCTAGGCCCTGCCCTGGATGAAATGACAGACTCTGGAGATCTTCTATGGAGGCCCTGGGAATGAAGTAGAGATTGGGTGGGGGACTGGGAAGGTGAGGGAGGAGGGGAGGGAGAGGGAGCTGGGATTGATATGTGAAGCAACCTTGTTTTTAACTTAAATAAAAATGAAAAAATAAAATACATTAAAAAATCTTTAGAGGCAGAAAAATACCTTCTTCTTGTGGTGTGTTCTACACCCAAACTGTTTGTTCAGGATAACCCCAGATGCTTCCAGGTGTCATTTCATTGTAAATGTTTCCCATCACATTTTCATCCAGCTGCCTTCTGAGTCTCCTGTGGTATGGTCCCACCTGTCTCATTTGCTTTTCAAATCCCTGTAGATTTTCAACCCATTGCCATCTCTGGGCTGTTCTCCAAGTCTCTAAAATATGCCACACATTCCTTGTCATATTAATGGCTCTAATTTGTGTGTGTGTGTGTGTGCACGTGTGTGTGTGCATGTGTGTGTGCGTGTGTGCATGTGTGTGTGTGTGTGTACCTGCTTGTCTGTGTGTTCAACACTGTGTGCAAGTGCCTACAGGGGCCAGAAGAGGTCACTGGACCTTTTAGAACTAGAGTTACAGGCAGTTGTAGTCACCTAATATTGGTGCTGAAAACCGAGCCCAGGTCCTTTACAAAAGCAGCAAGTGCTCCCATCCACTGAGCCATCTCTCCAGTCCTCTGCTCCATCAAATTTAAAGAGGGCATAACCAATCCACTTCTTAACAGCACACACACACACACACACACACACACACACACACACACACACATGCACACACACAAACATGCACACACACACCACACAGAGACACATGCACACACACAAACATACAGACACACACACACCTCAGAGAGACACATGCACACACACAAACATGCATACACACACACATACATGCACGCACACACGTGACCTGACTCTGGTCTACAGCCCTGCTTGGTTTCATGCCTCACTAGCATTTCAATGACAAAACTCATTCTTTGAGGCTGCGGGAAAACCTCCAGTGGCGTTGCCTGAATGCACACCCTAATTGTGACTTTTCTCTTCATAGTGGGATTTGCAACCAACCTTTATGAAGTCGCATTTTTCCTGGAACCATTTCCAGGTGGCTGTTTTCCTCCTGAGGATTTGTCTTATGAAGCCATTAGGGTGGACAATAGATGCACGTGAGCGTCTGGGTGGCAGCAGGCTGCTCTGCAGGGACCCAGGGTAAAATGCCATAAACATCTTCCTTTATTTTATTGGATTTGGCTCAGCCTGTGGCAGGGCTATTGTGTGCAGAGCTCCAGTTGTTATGGGGAGGTTTTGTATGTCACAAGTAGAAAATCGGTGCTTAGGTCTGACAGAGTGCCCTGCTATGCAGGCGATGCCTGGGCATCATGGGACAGTGACTTGACTCCTGTGCTCACGCTACCCTCAGCCTTTCTACTGATCATCAAAACACAAAGGTGGCTTTTGATTCTCTCCACATGCTAGCAAATTGGAAGACACTGCAAGAATTATTGTGTCGCCAAGGAGAAGACATGGCCCAAAATAACGAGGGCAGTGTCAGTCCCCAGGGCACATCTTCTTGGCAGCTTTAGTGTTGAACATATTCAAATTTCCAAGAGCAAGCGGCCATGGGAGAAAAGTGTATCTTTCTCATTTATCATCCTTTTTCTCTAGATTCTTCTTATGAGTAAAGAGATTGTGTAAGACTTGGCCTGCATGTATAGCCTCTGGCTATCTGTCCAGCTGCTCCGGGGGAAATGAACAGACTCTAATAGTTCGAGCCCTCAGTGTTAGCCTGGCTGGGTTCACCCGGTGATTTTTCAGCTCTGCAGATTCTCCAGACACTGGCCTTGCCAGTCAGCTCAGCTCCTCACCCAACAGCAAACATCTCTGCAACTAGGCACTCCTTGGCAGCACCAGAGGACTTTCCTTTGGGTCACGAGGGCGGGACGGCAAATGACCTGCATGGTGGGAAAGCAGGGACAAGTCTCGAGGCTCCACCCCAGGAAAGCCAAGAAAAACCAAAAAAAAAAACAAAACAAAACAAAACAAAACAAAAAACAAAAAACAAAACAGAGCAAACCTTACAAACTAGCCCGAGCTGATTAACTGCAGGCGAACCCAGCAGCTTTGCTGACAAGCAGAGTGCCCCGAGCCCCAAAGAATCCTTTCCTGCTTGCTTCAGAGCACGGGACTCTGAAGCGGCACTCGGCGTGGGGAGAGGTCTTTGACCCTCCATCCACAGATGCCCCTTGAGGCCCCATGTTGGTTGCAGAGGGGCTGGGATTACCCATGGCCAGCCCTCGTTTTCCATCCTGCATATCCAAGGACAGAAGGAAGACAAAAGAGCCGGCGGTGAGAAACAAAGCAAAACTGCTCTCCAGCGCAGGGAAGTTTGAAGTACGGTTGGAGTAGAAGCACACACTCAGCTAGTTTATGATTGCTGTCCATAGACAATATGCGGCATGACATGATAGGCTGAAGGGGGACTTCTGGGACTAAAGGGTACAACCTGGAGCTCAGGGGACGAGAAGATAGAAAAGGAGGGGGTGGCTATGAAAATGCCGTAATAAAACCCATTACTCTGAATGCTAGTTTAGATTTTAAAAATATAGGTATATAGGATGTAAAAGTGGGAACAAAACCATCTAGGGGAGAGAGTGGGGGAAGAGAGAGTGGGGTGAATGCAGGCAGTGCATGCTACACTTTCCTAAAACCCATTTCTATATGCAATGAATACATATCAATAAATACATAAATAGGTAAAGTGTATGTGTATGTTTCTGATTTCTCTGAAAGGGGAGGTGGCTTAATCAATTCAGATAAAATTTAAGGCACATTTTATCATGGACAGACCACGACTGCTGAGGACATTTCGAGATGAGTGACAGATGGAGGGGGTCTTGGCAGGATGGGATTTGGATGTTAGTGGAATGTGTACACAGGAAAGTCGCCAGGCTCAGGCATGGTATCTCATACTCGAAGTACAAAAAATGAACAGTTGGCAGAGCATGAGACTCTTAATCTCAGGATCGTGGGTTCTGACTGTGGTGTTATATTGTTTACGATTTATTAAAGCTTGCCTGAGGTTACAGAAAGCAAAGCTAGCCACAAGCCAGAGCCAGGCAATGGTGATACACACCTTTAATTCCAGCAGCCATACTAGCTAGCCATAGAGGCATAGAGCCAGGCAGTGTTGGCACATATCTTTAATCCCAGGACTCAAGAGACAAGCAGATACATCTCTGGTAGTTCAAGGCTGCGCTGAGCTTCATGAAATTGATCCAGTCATAAAGAGAAAGAGTTCACACAAAGATGATCTCAGCACTTTGGATCACATGCCTTTAGCCCCAGGATTTGAGAAGTCTAAAAGGAAGAGGCAGAAGTTTGGGATTGCAGCCTGGAGGGCTTGGTGGAGACACGATTGCAGTCTGAGGGTTGTGGAGAGATCTATTCTCCAGCCACTTTGGAGAAGAGGACATTCCTTTCAGTCTGAGGTAGAGGTAAAAGCTAGTGGACGGCTGCTTTGCTTCTATGACCACCATCCTGAGCCCCAATATCTGTCTCTGGGTTTTATTTTTTGTACTACACATAACCTATGTGCCTAGCACCTGAGATGCCAAGGCAGGAGGACCAGGGGTTCACGAACAGCCCCAGCTATACAGAAAATTCAAGGCCAGCTTGAAATACTTACGACCCTGTCTAGACAAGCTAAAGTGGAAACCAGTCTCCAGGGTGCCACGGATTCCAGAAGAGCCATGAGACTCGCAGATGGGCACAGGTGTCACAGAGAAAGGCGAGAGCAGGGCACAGGAAGCCCCCGTCCATCATGTCTCTCAGAAGTGAGGATGTGGGATAGAGAAGGCACGGGCCTTGCACCTGCAGGAAGGAACAAAAGAACAGAAAAACAGTTACAGACCCAACAGTGGAACGGCTGCCCAATTGCCAGAGTCTGAGAAAAGGAAAAGGCAGTAACGAAACCTTTCCACACAGTGCCTTACCAGGACGGCCTTCTGTTGGGGGCAAAGGTGTGGGTGACTCACTTTATGTTGAATCTGCCTTTGGTGGCGTGGCGAGGCCGCCTGTGGAAAAGGCCGTGGATTGACTGTGGTAGGGAGCCATTCCCAGTCCTTGTTTGAGTTGTGTGAGCCTCCCTGTGGAGGCTTGTTCCTGCCTCCAGCAGTCAGGTGACGGGAGAAAACGCCCAGCGTTTGTCCCCCACCCCCAAAGTCTGGAGGTGGGAGGCAGTCCCCGGGGTGGACAGGATGTGATGGAGGCCATCGCAGGGCTGCTATGGGGGAAGTTCCATCTTTGTTTAGAGTTGGAAACATCCAGAAGCTCATGGGCTGATTGGAGTCAAGCAGTGCTGAGCTCACACTGTCAGAGAACAAGCAACGGAGGTAAACAGTGCCCGCCTGGGCAAGGACAGCCCAGTGCGGGGACCCAGGTGGCCCAGCTGACGATTCCATTCTTGAAGAGGCGGGTTACTCATTTTCTCTCTCCTGCTGCATACATCTCCAGGGCTCTCAGATCTAAACACAGTTTCCTCATCAGACCTGAAGATGCCAGCATCACCATGTGGTCTCTGTCTTGCTTTGACAGGCTTTAGGCAGACTGTCACTAATGGCTGATGACACTTGGAGCCATGTGCTGTTAGGTGACCAGTACTATGCAGATGTCACAAAGTGTATATCACAAACAGAGGCAGCTCCATGTCACTAAGAGTGCATGACCTGCTACTGACTAAAACATTGCTATGCAGTGCATGCTGTATTATGCCCAGACTCAGTAAGAGGGACAGGAGCTGTGGCTATCGGGGATATGGCATTGCTTGTCACAGGAAACGACCACCTGCACGTGAAGGCGACAGGGTGAGGAGCTCTGAGCTCCGTGAGGAGTCATGTCATCTATCGCCTGGTCCATAGAGCCAAGGCTGAGGCCCGGGCTTCAGAGCTGAGAAGGGGCACAGGACCAGCAGTGAGGTACAGGGCATGGAGTCAGCAAGGCTCTCTGCTGCCAAGC